AGACTCTCAGACCTGTTATTGTCCGGCATTATCCTAAGGATGCTGCTATTTCCTGTAATCCCGTTTACAGTCAGGTATCAGGGAATCCACCTGGAACTGCCAAGGGGTGTGGTTCCCAAGGGTCATCGACCTTCCTTGCTCCTCCTTTCCATCTCTGAGGGAGAAAACTTCCATTGCCTCCAGATTGTGTTTCAAAACAATGGAGAATGTTCTTGGTTTTATTACTAAGTAGTCTTGACCTCTAGCTTCATAGTTATTGTTTGCTTTGTTTCTTTAACATCTTGACATTCATTATTTTCTTCCTGGTGCTTTCTTAGGCAGTTGATTCCTCCACGCACCAGCTCCCCTGACTTGAAAGCTGCAGAGATGCATTTAGATCAGGTTTCTTGCATGCTGCCGGCTTTATCTCATTTACAGTATCGCATTTCTGTTGCCATACACGGTAGGATCTGGGCCTCCCCACAGCTTTAGAACAATTAGTAATTGAACAGGAAGTGTGTTTTTATTACAGTGGCCTTTTGATTTTGATTTTACAATCATGTAGTGTTCAGCAGAGAGCAGAGGTGGGCAAGTGGCTCTCTCAAACACATTTTTGACAGAGAGAAGTCTGTTGTTTCAGCCACTTGGCTATCTGTCAGCGGTTCTCAGACTTCCCCCTTGTGTGGGTTGCCTGGCAACCTGGGGCTGGAGCAATCAAACCGTGGCCAGTGCTTCTCCAGCCCAGATTGGGAGATGATTTATTGGTGGAACTGTAAGTACAGTAAACCCAAGCCTCAGAAATGGACCCTTTTTCTTTTTTAAACCAGGAGTTTATAGAAACCATATCAAGGCAAAAAGAGAGAGAGGGAGAATATCAGTTAGAGAGCTTTGTTGTAAACATTTTAAATAATAAAATTAGGGCCTGTAATGAGTCTGTTATTATCCAGATATGTATAAGTTAATATTTTTTTCTTAGTTGGATTATTACCTTTTTTTTTCTTTAACTGTTTTACTGGAACACTCAACATTTTAAAAGTTAGTATTTTTAAATGCTAAATTTGAGTACTTCTGATACCATCAGAGGTAAACTGAGGCCTTGGTAGAATCAGACGTAGAATCAGAGCCCAGCTCTCCCAGGTTTAATATAGTGAGCACAAAATGCTGATTGCTCTTCTCACAAGTTTTCAAAATTAGCTAAAAAATTCAAAGACCCATCTATATGGGAAATCCCTATACCTTGTGCTCCATTTTGCTGTGAACCTAAAATTGCTCTAAAAAATAAAGTTTATGAAAACATTTTGAAAATGCAAAGATTCTGCCTTACTATATGCTGTTGTAACAGATGTTTTAGTAGGTCTCTCTCTTCATATATGTATGCATCCTTTTAACTGAAAACTATCCTATAATTTTTTTCCTATACGAGTGAGATCTGGCTGGGCGCAGTGGCTCATGCCCATAATCCCAACTCTTTGGGAGGCTGAGGGAGCAGGATTGCTTGAAATCAAGAGTTCAAGACCAAGCCTGGGCAACATAGTGAGAACCCTGTCTCTACAAAAAAAAATTTTAAAATTAGCTGGGCATGGTGACTGACACATACCTGTAGTCTGAACTACTTGGGAGGCTGAGCCAGGAGGATCATTTGAGCCCAGAAGCTCCATGTTACAGTGAGCTGTGATCATACCACTGCAGCCTAGGTGGCAGAGCAAGACCCTGTCTCTAAAAATAATAATAAATAATCATAAAAGTGAAATCCAACAGCTCTTATTGAGATTTCTCCTTCATAGCATCTCAGATATCACAAATGAGGATGAAAAGGACTCTATTTCTGGGGACATACTGTATGAGGGTAGGGGGAGCAGCCTGGCTTAGCAGTAACCTGAGCATTTCTTTTTGTAAAATTTTAGAGAAATATTTTGGAACTCAAACCCCTCTGCATGCAGCCCAGTGTATCCAGCTGTGTATGTAAATGAGCTATTAGTATGTTTGTATTCCTTATAAATATACAGATCTAATCTGTTTGTGTGTGTAATTTACACACAGCTGTGTTCATGCTTCCGTATTACCAATATTTTCAGCAAGAGTGAGGTATCATGGGAGCGCTGTTGTTCCAAACAAAAGCCAGCAGCATAGCCTTGTGGTGGGGCCCATTATCAGCCCCTGATCTTGGGACCCTCCCTTGGGGGACTCTCTTGAAAGTCACAGCCGCCCTGCATGGGGATAGCCATCCTGCATGGGGTAGGTGGGAGACCAGAGTACCTGTAACAGAAAATAAAACAGCCAGGCGCGGTGGCTTACACCTGTAATCCCAGCACTTTGGGAGGCCAAGGCGGGCGGATCACGAGGTCAGGAGATTGAGACCATCCTGGCTAATACGGTGAAACCCCATGTCTACTAAAAATACAAAAAAATTAGCTGGGCATGGTGGCAGGTGCCTGTAGTCCCAGCTGCTTGGGAGGCTGAGGCGGGAGAATGGCGTGAACCAGGAAGGTGGAGCTTACAGTGAGCCGAGATCGCGCCACTGCACTCCAGCCGGGGCGACAGAGCGAGACTCCGTCTCAAAAAAGGAAAAAAAAAAAAAAAAAGAAAAGAAAAAAAATGATGACCACCTGTTAGACAGGGATCTGCATTATGACTGAGGTTTGGCTTTTGTCATTGAAATGCTCCCTCCACCCCCACCCCTAGACTACATTTCCTAAAGGGGTAATTGATTTTCCTTTCTTCTTTGAGATCATTCTTTAAATGAACAGAGTCGAATTAGGAACCCAGTCCCATGTTGTATTGTCATGAAGGGGAAACAAAATCCAGGAGCCCCTTCCCTGTCAGGAGCTGACAGAAGGCCCTGGTGCTCGTCGGGGTCTTCAGTTTCCCTTGTTTGGGAAGTGGGGCAGATGTTAAGAACTTTGGCATTTGGTCGAGTTCTTCTGGAAGACAAGTTTTACGTAATTTGAAATAACAGCCCTATGTGATTTTATTTTAGGAATTTATGATATCATTGCCCATGATTCTAACAGTATAGTTATTTTGCCTCCCTAATAGAAAACTTGGAGTGCTTTGGATGATTTAGTATTTTACAAAAAAAGAAGTTAGGATTATTCTAGACCTGTGCTTTCCAATATGGTAACCACTGGTGTCTTGTGGCTGTTGAGCATCTGAAATGTGCTGGCCCAAGTATAGATGTGCAGTCAGTGTAAAATACACACTGATTTCAAAGACTGAGCAGGAAGAAAAAGAATGTAAAATATTTCATTACTAACTTTTATATTGATTACATGTTGAAATGATAATATTTTTGATCTATTGAGTTAAATAAAACATTTCAATTAACTTTACCTGTTTTTTTTTTTTTAAATATGGTTACTGGAAAAGTAAAACTTACCTTTTTGGCTTATATTTCTATCGAGCAACCACTGGTCTAGATTCCTTTAATTACAGTTTTTGCAAAAGGTTTTCTCGCTAAGGATTTCCACTTTTTTGTTCCCTTGTAACTTCTGGACAATCCACATTTCTTTTTTTAGCTTATTTCTCTTTCCTCCTGTGTTGAGATCTACTTTGCCAAGGAAAGGTGAACATTTTAATGACCTACTTAGGAGCCACTTTACAGGGGCATTTATGTAGAGACTGTAGGGTGATGTTGTAGGGAGGGAAAGAGCCTCTCATGCCCATTTGGGTTCTGTCATGAGTGTTGGGTTATTTTATTTATTTATTTATTTATTCGAGATTGAGTTTCGTTGTGTTGCCCAGGTTGGAGTGCAGTGGCACAATCTCGGCTCACTGCAACCTCCGCCTCCCTGGTTCAAGTGATTCTCCTGCCTCAGCCTCCCAAGGAGCTGAGACCACAGGCACACACCACCATGCCCGGCTAATTTTTGTATTTTTAGTAGAGATGGGGTTTCACCATGTTGGCCAGGCTGGTCTCAAACTCCTGACCTTGTGATCTGCCTGCCTCAGCCTCCCAAAGTGCTGGGATTACAGGCATGAGCCGACGCACCCGGCCATGTTGGGTTATTTTTAATTTGGGCGTAGCTGTGTGGACATAATTGGCAAGAGGCATTTGGCTGGTGCGATCTCTACATCTGTTAATGCTGCTGCTTAACTAGCCAGTTCTCATTTGACTTGAAAGTGCATTGATGCATGCTTTCTGATATTCGCCCAGTGGCAATACTTTCTGTTGGGCCTGCAATAATGAAAGGACTTCAGTGTACTCAATGTAATTATCTAGACCCAGGGGGCATTGACAGAGATGTATCTATAGGATAGCTCAATGGGCTGTGTTAGTGGGTGCAGTTGCTATTTAAACCACTAGCATGAGGTCATTTTCCCATTGGGCACATGGTCTTTGAATGAAAAATGGAGTAACTTTTATTTGGTATTTGAGACCTCCTGGGAAGGGTTTTGGCATACAGGTGTGTTGACAAAGGAAATCACTGGCCTTACTCTGGATGCTGAGCTGGCATCACGGAAGGGATGGCGTAGTTCCTCTAGTAGGTTTGAACTAAGAACATCTAATGGTTTTGTCAGTAGTAGTTAGATGTTAGAAACTTAACAGTGCAATGAATATATATCAAGAGATGTTGAGTCAAACTGGAGAACAGATGATGACAGGTCAAATAGCCTTGGAGGAAGACTAAGCCCAGTCACCTCCAGATACATTCTTGTACTGAGCTACTGGTTATCAAGCACCTGCTTTGTGTTATCAAGTGCTGTTCTAGGTGCTGGGGATATAATAGTGAACAAAACAAAGACCCTTTCCTCATATACTCAGTAACGTAGCCTATGTCATGTCATCTAATCATATCACATATGGTGATGGTAAGAGCCAGGCCTTAAAATGAAGCAGAGTAAGGTTATAGATAGTGACAGGCATGCAAATTGGGGAAGCATAATTGGAAGATTGCTTATTTGTTTGCTTAAATTAATAGTGACTAAGAGGTTAAAGTTTTTAGTGGTTTTAGCGATGAATCTTGTATTAGTTTCCTATCACTATGTTACACATTACCCCGATAATAAAAATTAGCCCAACTTAAAACAATGATGATCATTTATTATCTTTCACAGTTTCTGTGGGACAAGAATTTAGGAATGGCTCCACTGTGCCGCTCTGACTTGGGCTTTCCGAGGTTGTAGTCAAGTGACAGGTGGTATTTGAATCATCTTGAAGGCTTCTTCACTTACGAGTCTGGGCTAGGAAGACTCAGATGGCTGGGGACTAGAATAGCTAGGGCTTCTGTAGCATTTCTCCATCCCTGGTGGGCTAAGGCAAGCCGGACTCAGGGCTTCAAAGATACATGTCCAGAGAAGGAGAGCCCAGCAGAAGCTGCGTTGCTTTGTATGACGTGGACTTAGAAGTCACCTGGTATCATTCTGTCACATTCTGTTGGTCAAGGCAGTTACAAAGGTCTACCCAGGCTCAGGAGAACAGAGAGACCCACCTGAAAACGAAGGAGTGTCATTATCACATTGCAAGAGCGTATGGGATGGAATCTGTATTGGAGTGGCCACCTCTAGAAAATATACTTTGTCACAAATGTAAAGATTTTGTGGGTATGTGTGGTTTGATTTGTTGGTTTAATTTCAGTTAAATGATTTATGGCTCTCATCTGTAATATGAGGGCTTCAACCAGCGTAGTTCTCTAATGATTCCTTCTAGCTTTATCATTCTCTGATTCCAGTGATAGCGCAGGTGTGGCAGGAAGTGTTGAGTTGACAGCTGCTCAGCTTTTGTAGACATTTCTGGGCACATCATCAGAAGAGTCAGCTGGGACATTTAGGGGCTGTTGGACTCTTGCTGGCCTCACACACTGAAAGACCTGGCACTTCAGTCACCCTTTGTGTTATGTTTCTATAGCTAATCTTAACTGGAGGCTGCTAGTGGTGGGGTGATGAAATAAAATAACGATTTGAACCAGGAGCTGCCCATTATCATGATACTCATGGACTGAGATGGGCAGAACAGCCAGGCAGGATTATATTAGATCTACCTTCCCAAGTGCTCCTTCTCATTCTCTTTGGCCTTTGGAAGGTTAGGAAAAAGAGGAAAAGAAAGGAAACAGAAAAGAGAACTCTTTGGTATTACTCCTCTGTGTCAGCTAAACAGCTGCCATATTTGACCCTAGAGAGGACTTCTTTTAGAAATGGACTGTTACTCAGGGGTCTTGGATTTGGGATCCTGTTGTAATTACCATAGAATCTTCTGGACTAGCCTGGGAAACAGGTCTTTTTTGTGTGTGCTGAAACTAGGATTTATTTCAGAGACACATGTCCAGAGAGGGAGAACCAAGTGGAAGTGGTGTTATTAAATATTAAAGGTATTTAAGACAGTTGACAAAACATATCATGCAAAACAGGATGTCTTCTTGGAAATAGTTCAGTCCTCCTCTTGTCTCTATGTCGGACCAAGAGGCTACCCTGCTTTGCTACTGTTCCATTGTTAAGAGAACCAGGCACATAGAAGTTGAGACTTTGAAGATGGTAGAGGCCTGGACACCCATCTTGTACCCAGGAACACAGCAGTCCTGAGACAGGGCTAGTTACCAGTACAGGGGATGTAGTTATTTAGTGGCAGAACCATGCCAGGTTGTTTGTGGGAAAATTTTCCTCATGGATATCCAGCATACAGCATATAATCTCTGACATGTGCTTTTATTTCAAGAGTTTAAGTTTGTGTATAGGTATATGTAGACTTTCCTTTAAAGTATCTTAAGAAGTACCTTAACAAGTATCACACCCTTTATTCCTCTAAGATTGGTAGATATAAAACAGTGTTTTCTGCACTGAAAGTCCAAGTAATTAATCCTATTTTGAAATCTTATTTACATCTCCATTCTTCTTGGATAAAAAGAAACATAAATCTAACGTTGATTAGAAATTTTGTTTCCATCTACCAAACATGTATTGTGTTTTAGGGAAAACTCTAGGACCAAAAACAATACCCATGCCCAACAGTTATCATATTGCTTGGTTACAGTTTGCTAGGCACTCTGAAGATTACAAAAGACATGAAATACTCAACTCTTGCTGGAAAGGAATCCACAATTTGGTGGAAGATCTACAGACCTTTTAATGACAGAAGTGGTTATTAATTCTAGTTGTAAACAGGAATTGTTTTTCAGAGAAGGGAGAGAGAGCAGAGCGGACTCTGGAGGGATAGAGTTGAAACTGGAACACGCTTCGCACAGTGCCTCGCGCTGTGCTCTTTGCAGAGTGTTCACTAGAATGAGAGCTCAATGAATGTTAGTTGAATTGATGTGTTTGAATACGCAGAAGTGAAGAAGGGACATTCTAGATTGGGAAGAGAGAAAGGCATTGGTAAATACCCAGAGAATGGAATCAGGATGGGGTACTGCAGTAACTGACTTCACTACATGGTGGTGTAGGTGATTGGGAACCCAATTGTGGAGACTGTTAACTAGCAGACCGATAGTTTGGACGTGCTAGGAAATTGTCACAGGTCTTCAAATAAGAGGACACATTAATATACAGAATGCCCAGAATTGGAATGTTGCGGGGGAGGGGTGTGGAGACACACTGAGGCCAGGGAGACCAGTGCAGTCACTGGCATGACGTGGCCCTGTAGTTGGCAGAGCCCCTGCAAAAACAGAGGAGCATGCTGAACAGGAAACTCCATGAAGAATGAATCTAGAGGGCATGGTGACTGATGGAAGGAGTGGGAATGGACAGAGAGCAAGCTAGGCATTTCTTCTTGGAGAACTCTGCTGCAGCTGACAGAAATAGGGCCACAGGTAGCTAAGAGAGGGCAGGCTGGCTTGGTGAGAGAGAAGCTGGGGAGATTTGAGGTGCTAGGCCCATGAGTTTAATAGAGACGTTTTAAACTATATAAAGTAAAAAAAGTTACAGTAAACTAAGGTTAATTTACTATTGAAGAAGGGAAACATTTTAAATGTTTAGGTTAATTAAACAGTGTTTATAAGACTACAGTGGTATCCAGCAGAGGTCCCCAACCTTTTTGGAACCAGGGACCAGTTTTGTGGAAGACAGTTTTTCCATGGACTGGGGGGAAGGATGGTTTCAGGATGATTCAAGCGTGTTACGTTTATTGTACACTTTATTTCTATTATTATTACATTGTAATATGTAATGAAATAATTATACAACTCCCTATAACGTAGAATCAGTAGGAGCCCTGAGCTTGTTTTCCTGCAACTGGACAGTCCCATCTGAGGGTGATGGGAGACAGTGACAGATCATCAGACATTAGATTCTCAAAAAGAGCATGTAACCCAGATCCCTCACATGTGCAGTTCACAGTAGGATTCATGCTCCTATGAGAATCTCATGCCGCTGCTGATCTGACAGGAGGTAGAGCTCAGGCAGTAATTTGAGCCATGGGGAGCAGCTGTAAATACAGATGAAGCTTTGCTCACTTGCCTGCCGCTCACTTCCTGCTCTGTGGCCCAGTTCCTAACAGGCAATGGACTGGTAGTGGTTTGTACGCTGGGGACTGAAGACCCCTGTCTTAAGGTATATGCAGGAAGAAGTTTTACTTGTGCCAGTAGTAACATAAGGGTAATAGGCCTGCACCTCAGTGGGTATTTGGAAGACAAAGGAATGCCTGGAGGGGCCTACCCAGTGTAGCACTGGGTCACCCTATGGCATGTATGGACTTTCGTGGCATGAGTTAATACACAGAAGTACTTAGCAGCTCACACTCACTCTGTTACCATTGGCATGGCTTTTATTGTTAGAACTGGACTTGAATCCTGGCCCTGATGATGATTAGGTGTGGGATGGGCCAGGATATTTCATTTACCTAACCTTTAGTTTCTTTATCCGTAGAATGGGCCCGGTGACACTTACCTTGGAGAGTGTATTGTGGCAATTAGCATACTTGTGCCACTACCGCTACCACTTCCACTCTGCACAGAAACCTGAAGGCCTTGGGGAACTCAAGAAACACTGAACTATTTCAGTCAGTTCTCTGGGTTCCTGAGTTGCCGCTTTGAGGAAGATGTGGCCTATGGGTTGTCAGTGCCCAAGTTGGGATGGTGATGTCCTAAAACTACGGAGGACATTAGTCTGAATAGAAAGTGTAGGTACAAGTCTGAGCTAGGGTAGAATGTCAGATCTGGAGAGAGATTTGAGAATCATCAATAAAAATGGGATGATTATTTTAAATTATCCCATTTGCTGCCTTTAAACTCTAACTAGTTTCATTAAACTATTAACTGGCTCTCCTGGAATAACACTAGTAAGTGCAAAGTATTTTTAAAGTGGAGGCAGAAATTGGGAGCAGCCTATACTGGAAATTTTGGAAATGCTCCTCATGGCTTGCTGGCAGGTCTCCTCCCAGACAAATTGGTTATGTTGCTCTTTATTGAAAAAGTAGTGCCTTACTCCAGTCACCCTTTCATTAAAATGTTAAATATTTAAAACTAAAACCAAATGATACATCTCAAAGCAGCATCAACAGTAAAGCTCCAGAAGGAAATGTGTTTTAGATACGGGGTGGTGGGATCTGTAACCAACAGGATGATATGGATGAAGGACAGTTCTCATCCAGTGGTTTATCAGTGAGAGCCAGCATCATGTAATACAAATGTTTGGAAAGGCTTTTTTATTTCTTCTGCCTGGCATCCGTGTTCCCTTTTTTTTTTACCCTACCCCTCCTTACCTTTAACATTTAGGATGTGTCTTTCTCATCTGCTGCTCTGTGTCTTCAGTGGAGCCATGGGTCTGTTCCCCTTACTCACTGCCTCTGTGTCTTCTGCGGGGAACTGTAGTTTGCTTACTTGCAGATCTGCCTGCTTTTCTGTCCCCTGTGAACCAGTAAGTTATTAACATAAAATTTTGTGCAGTAAACGGGGTAAAACAGAAGGAGCCATTTTCACAGTGGGAATCATTTTAATACCTACAGTGTTTTCCAAACAGTTATGTAAGAGGACTGAGTAGACGTCGCTTTTCAGAAGTCATGGTGAGTTTCTGACTGTGATACACTAGTTAAAATTCACCAGAGGGAGTTAATTTTGAAAGCTCTCAGCCAGGGGTTAATGCAGAGGTATCTTTTAGCCATTTTTGTAGCTCAGCCCCTGTCTTCTGCTCTCTTGCTACTGCAGACAGGGGTCAGGTCCAGCACCTGGGATGACGCCAGAAGGAGACGTGCTGGGAGTTTCACACATAGATAAGGGGAATTTGCACACCTTACCCTCTGAAGGGTTTACTCTCAGCCCAGTGTTCTCTATCCACATGTAGATTTTTTGGGAAACAATATCTTGGAATGCAAACACAGGCAGCAGCCACATCACACATCCCTGGTCTGCACCCTCGGCTCCATTCCTAGGCCCACCACAGCTCTGAGGCTTCCCGATTTTTTACACTCGTCTCCCTTGACTCTCCCAGCCTGGTTCAAGGACTTAGTGATATATGGTTACTTTTCCCACCTATAAGATGGGAATAGTAGTAGCCTCTGCCTCGTAAGTTGTTGTGGTGATTAAATGAGCCAGTGCGTTAGAGCCTTTAAGACAGTGGCTGGCACATTATAGCGCTCAGTGTTCACCATTTTTATTGTTCTAGGGTGGTGTTTCCCTACCTTTTTCATACCATGATGCGTGTAAAAATGCCGTTTGTACTCATCAGTAGGTTAATGGTGATGCTACTTGCACCAGGCCCACCTGCCATCCCAAGGGTGGAGAGGTGAGGATCAGTATCTAGGCAGACCAGTGAGGCAGAGGCACAAGGCTTGGGGGACTCTGACAGGGGGTGGGCTCAAGCAATAGCACGAGGAACTTTTGAACACATTAATTTAATGCATTTTTGACCTGGTTATTTTTATTTTTATGTTATTGTTATTTTTATTCCAATATAGCTGTTTCTAAAGTGGCTATGTCTAAACAGCCATGTCAGAATTTCCTTTTTGGAACAGAGGAGCAGACTAGATCACATGGCTTCCAAGTTTGAACCTTGTGTTCTTTCCACTGTAGCAAAATTCAAAATAGAGCTTTCCAGGTTCTATTAAAACCCAAGGCTAGTAATGCTAGGTTCAGGTAACTTAACTTTTTTAAAGCCAAAAGTTAAATTTTCTCTACTGGGGAGTTGTAGGTAGGTAACTTTTGATTGTGATGTGAAATTTCAGCTCAATAGTGGAAAACTATAGCAATTTATCTAAAAATTAGAGCACAAAATCATAAACGTAAGTTGTAACACAAAGCAACAACCTCCTTGCCATAAATAAATATATATTTATATTTGGATCTCACCTGGCTGTGGGGATACAGAAACAGAAAAGGACTTATTTTGTGTTCCCAAGGAGCAGCACATAGTTGGGTTGGTTAGGCATGAACACACCGGAGAAACAAGTGCCAGCATCCCAAGACCCTCAGTTCGTGCGTCTGAGAGTGGGCAGGCTATGAGCTAGCAAGCATAAACAGCAGAGCTGCCCAGCTCTGGCAGCAGTGGCCAAGCCAGTGACTCGCCTTCTACATTTCCTTCCTCCTTTACCCTTGGCATCCTGCTATTCTAATATCTATACACTGGGAGTGATAGAAAAACTAATGGACACAGAAATAATTCATGAGGCCTTCCATTTCAGCACTGGAAATGCCCAATTTCAGCTCAACAACTACAAGACTGTTAAGAAACAGACTGTGTCCATGAACTTGCATTTAGAGGCTTATAGGGCCTGTTGATTTGTAAGTCAATAGTGTTAATTGTCAAAGTCTTAAAAACTTCAAGGTTTTCATTTGAAGAGAGGTGAATTTGTAGAGGGCAAGGAGATAACCACAACAGAAGCCTCTTTCACCTGTGACCCCTTCCAATCATTGACTACTGTGAGTGGTCGTCTTTGTTTCGATTTTCAAGGCTACTCTACATTTCTGGTAAACCACAAGGTAAAGGCTGGTCTCTGAGAAGCAGATGTTTTGCTGGTTTTGAGGCCTTGTGGCTTTCCATAGAGAAGTAACAGTACAGGCCACATGAAGCTCATGAAGCTTTTACTTCCTTTTTTTTTTTTTTTTTTTTTTTTAAAGTGGGGCCAAGGGTGCTTTGCTCTTGATAGCATTGTATTGATATACATGGACAGCTGTGGTAGGTCTGTGTTCACCACCAGATGTCAAATTCCTATTTCTGGAAGTAATTAGTTTGAGATACCTGTGAGACGTTCAAGTTGAGTGTTCCTAGTGGACCTGGACCATAGATTTAGTCTTAGAAATACCAGTGAGAATCTCGATAGATATTTAGAACCAAAGGAATAGTGGAGATCATATGGGGAGACAATGTATATAGCAGAAAGCCCTAGGACAAAGCTTTGGGGAGACTCCAGCATTTAGAGGTTGAGTAGAGAATTAGGCCAAGTGGTATGAGCAAAACCAGAAGAGTTTGGTGTCATGGAGTCAAGAGGTCAGCTCTATTAGGAGAGTTCAAAATGGACCTGTCTTTCAACAGTCCATTTCCACTGTGACCACCCTAGCCCAGGCCCTCAGCATCTCATTGTTGGTTTCACTTGTCCAGGTGCGGTGACTCACACCTGTAATCTCAACACTTTGGGAGGCCAAAGCGGGAGGATTGCTTGAGGCCAGGAGTCTGAGACCAGCCTGGGCAATATAGCGAGACCTCATCGTTAATAAATAAATAAATATTTTTTAAAGGAGACAAAAAATATGGTGAGCGTCAACTGCCCAGTGCTATATGGAGGGAGGCACTAGGTGTAAGATGTAATTCTTTAAGAGTTTATGGACTTTTGGGGTCAGCAGACCTTATACAAATAAACAAATGAGAGAGTAACTGGACATCTGGTTTCATTTGGGAGCAGGAGAGATTTTGAGGTGAACCTGGAGATGCCTTACCCAGATTCTGGAGTTGAGACAGAGGTCCCAGTGTGGGCCAGTTGGCATTACTGGACGTCTGGCTGGAAAGGTGAGCAGGGCCAGGATCCTGGAGGGCCTTGAATTCAGGGCTAAGGAGTGTAAACACTGTCCTGCAGAGACCATCATGCTGTTCTTAGGTAGGGGCTAAGGGCCAGATAAGGTGGGACTCAGGATGAAATCTATGGTTTGGAAAAATTCCTTGGCAGAGACTTTTAAATGGCTGGCTGGGGGAGATGGTTAATAGGCTAGTTATTAGGAAAGAGAGAGAAAGATCTGGCCTGGGACTGCCACTAGCATGGGCAGGAAAGGAGGGCGTTGAAAGACACTTCTTAGGAAGAATACTGAGGACTTGATGATTTGATGTTGGACCCAAGAAGAGGAAAGTACAGAGTCATAGAAAATGGTAACAGAAAATAGTTACCACTGTAGACGCCTGCCTGCATTTTACAGAGTGTGGCGGTGAAGTACGTGGATTTGAGGGGGCTTAGTTTGAATTCTGGCTTTGTCTCTGAGGAGTTGATCTAGTTACCTGTCTGTGCCTCAGCTTCCTTGTCTGTAAAATGGGGATAATAATTGTAAAGATTTCGAATTAATACATATGAGGCTTCTGCCATATAGTAGGTACTTAGTAACTATTGGTTGAATGGATGATGTTCAAAGGATTACATCACAATAAATGGAAGAAACAGGATCTGAATTTGTCCAGCTCTACCACATTACCCTGATGTTCCAGAGTCTGCCTTTCTCACATGTTGCCTCATTGTGTAGGCCTCTTTTATTGGACCTACTAGATGTCACTTGGCATCAAGCCCACGTTTAGATTGCATGGTCCTGGCGTTCCACAGCCTGGCTCACTCCAGATTGCCCGCTCCAAGTCTGTATAGACTCTGTCTCCCATAACCCACCTCCCGTTCTCCACCTCTGACCTTCGCGGAGGGCCCGGTCACCAAGTCACCTCCCACCTCTGCAGTAGCTGCCCACCCCTCATGATCTGGCTGATGTCACTGCCTTGGTGAAGGCATTCTGAACTACTACAGACTACTGCAGTCTAGCCTTCTTGGGTCCCTTGCTGCACTGATGAGCTGTACCTCACTTCTTTATGCTTGGCCAGATAACATCTCGGAATGTTCTGTAATGACTTCACACATATTTATCTTACCTGCAAAAATGAATCACAGTTCAATAAAGGTCCATGGCAACCTTTATTATCTTCCTAGACCCCAGCTAGGTGCTCAGTAAATACCTGAATACTTAAAGAATGGATTAAGAAGCAGGAATTCTGATGACTGCTGAGGTGTGGAGTGTGCCAGTAGTTCAGGTCCTCATCTCATACCTGAACTGTGTCACCGACCTCTTTAACTGGTCTGTCCCTAATCTACACTTAGGCCACACTGCCACTGGCACAGTCCTCATCCACTCTTTTCATGGAAAGCTCCAGCTTCAGCCTCTCTGCCAGCCTACAATTAGTAACTCTTCCATGCAGCCTGAAGGGCTCTCTGCAACCCGATCCTTGCCTGCCTCTTTCGTCTTATCTGCTGGCACTCCATTCTGCACACCCTGTCCTCCTTGCAGTTCCCAGAATGTTCTCTGTGCCTTTTCCTGGCTGACTTCTGCTGGAAGCCCTGCTGGAGCCCACCTGGCAGGCTCACGCTCTTCCTTGTCACTTCCTCTAAGACATCAGCAAGCAGAGTAAGTTGCTTCCTCTTCCTAGCTCCACCCACCACCCTTTGTTCCTCTGCTGCTTTTCTTGCAGGCCCTAGGACTGGTTTGTTTACCTGTCTGCCTTCCTGGGCAGACTGCAGCTCCTTGAGGGCAGGGCCATCTTTCCGCGCCGTCTCTCCCGGTGATGTGCTGTGTGCACGCAGCGTAGGATGCCTGTTGATCATATAAACGATACTTTTGTCAAGTAACAAAGGTCACTCCTCCTCACACTAGAGGAGAGCTTGCTGCTTTCTTGTGCCTTGACAGATTTTCCCTTCGAACTGTATGAATTATATTGAAAATTGACAATGATGAGTCATATCTCAGCAAGGGTGAAAATCAAAAACGCAGAGCCTCCACTATTGGAATAGGAGGTTGCAGACTGGTCTTAAAGGCTAAGTCTGGCCCTTCACTGAATCCTCCTGGCGGGTCTCAAACACAGGGAGTGGGAGGGACCCTCTGCCCGGTGGGCAGGTGATTTATTGGCTGGGAAGCTTCCGCGGTGATTTAGTTGTGAAGCGGCGCC